GCACATACATATTTGTGACATGATGTACCTTGTGTGTGTGAAGTTTGAACTCGATCAATCCAAGCATGTCTCAGATACGGATCCAGAACTGAATTCTTTAAAACAAAATGGCCGCCAGTCGGCCATTTCGAACACGATCCAAAAAAAAAAATGACGTGCATCAAGGTCCTATTATGTTTAATGTATGTACCAAATTTGAACCAAATCCGTCCATGCATAACTGAGATCCGGGTCCGGAATGGTGAAAATGTGCGATTTTGATGCATTTTCAGCCTTAAAATGGCCGCTATTCGGCTATCGTTAATCAGATCATGAAAAAAATGCATGTGCATATGTCCCATATAATGTGTGATGTATGAGTGAAGTTTGAACTTAATCGGTCCATGCATGTTCGAGATACAGGTGATCACGGACGGACGGACGGACGGACGCACACAGGGCAAAACATAAGTCCCCGTTTTCGGACTGCGTCCGAACGGGGACTAACAAAGAGCAGTGCAGAGTATTTCAAAATACCCCAAAGTGTTTAAAAAATAAATATATACAATATGTAGAGTAAATTATACCCTTTCACTACTAAGGTTAATGTTGTAACCTTCCACAAAGTACTCCCCTTCTTTAATATCAGTTTGTTTTGATGGAAATGTTATTTTTTTAAATGAATAAACAATCAGAGCAGGATTAAGATCTATATCTTTGAAACAAAATTAAATAGTTCATTCCCTGGGAAAACATAGTTGAACTCTGGTGACCTTGCCCTTTGTTATATAATATAATTCCCTTTAACATAGTTTGTTTCAATATAAATATACATTGTCATAATTAATTTTGAATACAAAAAAGTTTTGGGGTTGAACTAACAGTGGGGAATCAGTCTACCGAATGTCCTTTAAAGATGTAAATATCTTACAAAAACATTGGTGCCTTATTTGTTTAATTATTTTAAGAGACATAATTTCCAGCTTTATTCAAAGTAATTCAGATATTTTAGTATAAAAACAAATGCCTCATTGCAAAAAAAAGTGCTGCATTTAGACGTGAATAAATTCATAAAACATGCAAGATAACAGAAAATCTTAGCTGGCTTTTGTCCAAGTATTTTGTACAGGTGTCTGTCAAAAATTAATGATTCACTGAGACAAATATGAACTGCCTCATTGTGTGACTACTGTATTATATGAAAAGTAAAAAAAAAAACACCCTTTATGAATAGCTATCATGTTGCAAGCTCTGCTTTAAATAGTTAGTTGGTGTCCAGTGGAGGGAGAAGTCAACAGTACTGTTGCCTCCTGAGAACCTACATCTTCAAACACTGCAATCTTTGTTTGAAGTGAGTTTTTAAACTAGTATCATAAAAACTCTATCATTCTGTTCTAATAGCTGAAACATATTCCTGTGAGTTTTCATTTGTCGAATGAACTGTTTGTCAAATACAGAATACATATATTTTAGAACAATTTTCTTTTTAAAATGAGGATGAAATGTTTTGCTTTTTATGTATTTTTTATGTATTGTTTTTGATTTGATAACTTTGAACTAAACAGATTTTCTATTAGCTTCAGATCTTGATCAAAGTTTGGCACCCAGTTCATAGGAGTGCTTATATTGATTTTCTGACATCTTGTTTTCTGTAAAGATTTATTGGTAGGTTTGCAAATGTGTATCAGACTGTGCAATCTCTCCAT